AGCCCCATAGGGAAAGCCTGGGGAATAACACGCATGCACCTTAATAAAGTCCTGGTCCCACAGATCCTCTCTCTTTCCTCCTGTCCCTCACCAGCTAGTTGAGCTCCCAGTCACCTCCAGACTTCTCCTGGGCCTCCCATGGGCACTCCTAACCTCTCCAGGACAGGTAAGAGGTTCATTCTTCTGCCTCATGCATGTAGGCATCACCTCCTCACTGTGCCTCACCTGAGCGATGCACCTGCACCCAGCTTTTCCCCACCAGGGCTCTCCTAGGGTGGTTGTCTTTGCTTTTGGCCACTCTTAATAGACCTGAAGACCAAGTTAGAAAGAAACCATTACAATAAAAATCACAAGAATTGGCACTGTGAGGAGCAGGGTGTGTAGCCATGACCACAAAGCACACGACAGAATGCCTTTCACCTGCTCCTGCTCACTAGCCATGTGTCTGACCCCATCTGGGGAGGCCCCACTGGACCCCACGGTCGGTTGTCAGCCTTAATAGGACACTCCTCTGAGTAGGAAGTTCTGGTCAGGGTTCTACTGACTATATTCAGAAGGCCTGATGGCTTCTGACTGAGAGGCAGAAGGGGGTCACCTCCGCCCTGGGGCTGTCAGGCGGACAGTGGGACAACACAAACATTTGACAAGGTGCAAAAGGGAGGCCCACCACACTCTGACTACTCACTGAGTTGGTGAGACAGCATCTAGGGAGGTCACTAGACTTCCCAGACTGACAACAAAGTGTCTTCTGCATGTCCCTGTCATGTCCCCTTCACGACGATGATGGCAAGCACTGGCAGCAGTTCTGCTGGTATCTGCAAGCCCTCTATTGCTTTGTCCCTTGCTTGTCACTCTTCATTGCCTCCTGACCCTAGTCAGCTCAACCTAGGACACCCTAAGAAGGAGGTGGCTGCCTATGATGGTCCTGATGGGAAACACATATGGTGTTTCCCAAGCCACTGCTCACCACGAGGGCCAGTCAGGGCCAGTGGGAGTGCATCAGGCCAGCATCCAAAAACAAAGGAAAAAATGGTATTTTCACTGCCTAAACATATAAGCCATTCTAAAGATTTTACTTAAAGCAAGAAAAGAAAGGGAAAGGGACTGCTATGGTTTGAATGTGTCCCCCAAGTTCATGTGTTGGAAACTCAATCCCCAATGCAACAGAGCTGGGAGGTGGCACCTTGAAGACATGATTGAGCCTTGTAGGCTCTGCCGTCATAAATGAACTCATGCCATTGTCCTGGGAATGGACTTGTTATTGTGGAGGTAGGTTCCCTGCAAAAGGAATTCAGCTCCCTTCCCCACGCTCACTCACCCTCTCACCGCATGATGCCTTCTGCCATATTATGACACAGCAAGAAGGCCCCGACTAGATGCAGGCCCTCGGTCTTGGACTGCCCAGCCTCCAGAGCTATAAAAAACAAATCTCTGTTCTTCGCAAACTAACGAGTCTCAGGTCTTCTGTTACAGCAGCACGAAACAGACTAAGGCAGAAACTGATCGTCATGCAGGAAGCGGCTATCCCAGAGAGAGGCCACTGCCCAGAAGCACCAGCCCCTTACTCCCCGCTCCCCTATCCTCTCATCAACTAGAGGCACAAACAAAGACTGTCAGCTCCAGGTGGCCAAAGCCTAAAACAAAATAAAACAAAAGGTAGGGGAGTGGGAATGCTGCCACTTAAATAAAAACAAAAACTTTACGTGCCAACTCAATGCTAGGTCCAGCAAACGTAATGTGAGCTCTAGACCATTTATTGATTTAAAAACAAACCCCCCTAAATATGAGGGAGAGGGGAGTTAAAAGTAATTAAATAAATTATATATACATATATAGATAATATTTTAATATGAATATATAAGAAGTTGATAAATATATAAGAAGAATATGTAAGTATATATAAGAAGTAGATACATATATAAGCTGTAGTATATGTATAATACATAATTAAATTAACACAAGTTACTATGATTTGATCCAACTAGAAATTCAAATTTTATGTATTAATTTACATCCTAATTTAGATGACAAAAATATTCAAAGGGCATGGATTGGCTTTTGTGCTTCTGCAACACAGGTTCTAACTTGACCTTAACATTTGCTAAAAGGTACCAACTGGCAAAAATTCTGGGGCTTAGTCAATACTGGGGCTCAAATCATAGTTATACCTGGAGATCTCAGTACATTTAAACACTCTGCCTCTATCATCTCAAAAGGTAACTAAATACAAAATAGAGAAAAATAAGTATGCCTCACTTTAACTGTAGCCTTGCCTAAATTTCCTATAGTCATGTAACCGTTGCTGTAATATACTCTACGTAGAGCATAGACGCTCTGACACAATAAATTAAGGTGATAAATTAAGCCAGCATGGTGGCATCCAGGTGGATCTGGCGACCGCCCAGCAAGCACGTATCCCCCCTCACAGAGGGAAGAAGAGGAAGAGTGGCCAAGAAGGGCTGGAAACCCCAGTCTTCCTTCTGTTTTCCTCTATAAATGTGAGCCCAGATTTTAACCTCTCTCTTGGCAACATGTGAGACAAGAAAGAAACTAATATAGATATTAGTCTTGTATTGACTTAGACTTTCACTTTCCCCACGCCTTGTTTCTTAATGGCCTTAAACAAAAAAACAAAAAAACTCTTGAACCTAGGTTAGCCAGTTTCCTGTTCATAGTAAGGAATCCAGGCTCTTTGCAGTAAAGAAAGACAAGGATACCCTGGAGTTTCATATGAGGAATGTTTCTAGATCGTTGGTTGAAAGCATGTCCGTTTGTTAATTTGCACCCTAAACACACCTCTCGGCTTCATTTAAATCTGAGAGCTCTGTGTGCATTCCAACTGCCTATGCAGAGTTCCAACTTAATCAAGTACTTAATGAGTAGCATTAATATTCGTTGTCTTCTCCATGGGCGACTGCACTCATCACGGTAAACAGTTACCAGCTGCCTCCACAGCCCGTGGTTGAGCTGAGAATTGTCTGTCCTTATCTAGACAGTGGATGATTTGTCCCCCACCATGGGAAAACCCTGCTGGGTACTTTCCAAAGGCCTCATTTTAAAAAGACATGTTTCCACTTATAGACCTGTTAAAAGTGCTAGGCAAGTTGGAAGAACAGTAAGAAATCTATGATCTGGGTGACAGTACTTCAAAGATTCTTGTAGTGTGTCAGGCACCATACTAAGTGCTAGGAATGCAATGATGACCGACCCCAAGGAGTCCTGGTTCCTGCCCTCACAATGCTTATGGTATGGTGGGAGAGGCCACTATGTAGGGAAAGGTCACTCTAATGAGCACATAATTACAGTGACCTCAGGGTTAGGAAGGAAAGGCATGGATGTGAGGACTCCCTAGAGGGTGGGGAAGATGTTGGAGCTGAGCTATGAAAGATGAAGATGGGCCAGGTGTGGTGGCTCACGCCTGTAATCCCAGCACTTTGGGAGGCTGAGGCAGGTGGATCATGAGGTCAGGAGTTCAAGACCAGCCTGGCCAAGATGGTGAAACCTCGTCTCTACTAAAAATACAAAAATTAGCCGGGAGTGGTGGCGGGTGCCTGTAATCCCAGCTGCTTGGGAGGCTGAGGCAGCGAATTGCTTGAACCTGGGAGATGGAGGTTGCAGTGAGTCATGATTATGCCACTGCACTCCAGCCTGGGCGACAGAGTGAGACTCCGTCTCAAAAAGAAAGATGAAGAAATTGGTTATTCACTAAATGTTAGGACACAGAATGTTAAGGCAGGAAGACACACACACACACCCTAATATTCATAGATGGGGAAACTGAGGCCCAGCAGAGCTAGATGACTTGCTAATTCTAGAAACCCATACCCAATCCCTTCCTGCTCAATCACCTAATTTTATTTATATCCCAGCTATAGATTATCCAAATACACTTGACAAATAAGATGGGGAATATTGAGTTAAAACCACATCTCTCAAGACCACACGCATAAATAACGATCGTGCTTTAATGTGGACGATACCTTTTCATTTTGCAAATTCAGTGTTCTCATCATATCAAAATTCAAGACAGTTTGTTCTGTAAGAAGGGGAAGGTCGTAACCCTGTCTAGAATGTACTGGCAAATCTCTCTAACCGTGCAGTGCTAATTTGGGCCTGAGCTGTGTAACCAGACTGACTTCACGCTCCAGCTGGGGTTTCAGGGGCACACATGGCGACTGGGTGGCTCTGGGCTGCCTCGCAGCAGGGGTCCTTGGGCTCCCGGAGCCCCTGGGGATTTGCTGCTCCCGACGTGGATGTGTTTTCGCCACTGTGTGCATGCGCTGAATGTTGAAAACATTCTTTTGAAAAGCCCAGGAGATTCCACTTGCAGTCTGTGCGTGTGCATGTAAAAGCGCAGAGCTGGGAAGAACCGCGGCGGCGCACACTCCGCCCGAAGGTGACCTCTGGAAGCCGCGGGCGTGGGCGGGGTGCGGTACGGTCTGCTTTTCACTCTAGACACTCCTGAGTTATGTAAAATTGCACGCAAGAACGTATTCGTGTGTTAGCATGTAATACATATGTATGAGTTTGCTGAAGAAGATTCTTCAACAACAACAAAGTCACAACAGAACAAAGGTGCGCCTCCGCGGAGCGCAACAGCGTTTGACTGGGATGCAGCCGCCTTCCCCCGAAAGCTCCGCGGAACTCCCCTGGACCACCGCCCAACTGAAGGTGGGCACTGCGCGCTCCACTGCGCGCTCCACGGCAGCAGCGCGGGGCAGTCGGGAAGTTGGAGGCGCCCGCGCCCCCGAACCCACCCGAGCGTTCAGGAGTCCTGCCTGGGCGGCGTGCGCCCTCCACACCCACCCAGCTGGTGCGGAAACGGGAGGGTGGGGCCGCCGCGGGGAGGAGCCACCGAGCCCGCCCCCCGCCCCTCCCCGCGGCCCTGGGCGCCCGGCCCGCCCCCTCCCCTCCGCGCGCAAACGAACCTCGCGACGCCGCGCTGTGCGGCGGGCGGGGGCCGGGCGAGGGAGGGGTCGGACCCTGGACGCCCCACTCTGCAGTTGCCTCCCGAGCGCTGGCTGCGCCGCCAGAGCCGCGGGGCCAGGAACGCACTGGCCGTTCGCTCCCGGGCCGGCTCCTCCAGGCGCTCGCAGCATGCAGCCCGGGAGCAGGAGGCGCGCCCCGAGTCGCCGCTGAGCCGGCCGGGGCTGCGGGGACCTGCGCCAGCCGAGCCCCTCCCACCTCGCCCCGGGGCAGACGAGCGGCGCCCCGGCACCCCCTCTTCGCCCGCAGCCCCGCCAGCGCCACCCCCCGCGGGCCGCAGGGTCTCATGCAGCCGCCAAGGTAAGCGCGGGCCGGGAGCCGGCGGCCCCGGTTCTGACATCCCCGAGACGCCGCCGGCACTTGCCGGGGCCCCGGCGCTGCTTCGGTCTTCCCCAGCCCCGCGTCTCATCTCGCTCCCATCTTGCCCACATTTGGAGCTTTGCTGCGCCTCGGTCGCTTTAGCGCTTGGCAGCAGGAAAGTTTTTGTGGTTTGGTGTTTGTTCTTTTTTCCTAAAATACTCTTCCCCCGGGCAGCCGCCAGCGCGCGTGGTTGGGCAGACCCGGCACACGTCCTTTCCACCGTGTGCGGGCTGGGAGCTCCCTCCCTCCTCCCGGCCCGCGGAGTCCCAGACCGAGCCGGCCACCCGGCTGTCCCGCCGTGAACCCCCATTGGCCCGTGCCGCCCGAGCCCCCGCCTCCCGCCCGACGCCCGGCTGCTGAGCTGCAGTACCAGCGCCTGCCCTCGGGGCTGTCGGCGCAGTGCACAGCGTGGCCTCCGGTCCCGACGGCCCCTGGTCTGGGCGCGCTGGCGCACGGGAAGGTGCAGCTCCTGGGGTGAGAGCTGAGGATGCCCATAGCCAAGCGGCCCCGGCGTTCCTAAGTGGACGGGTGGACACGGCGACGACTCTGCGCCGGCTCGCGCCGCAGCTCCACCCAGGGTACAAGCCGGGGCAAGGGGGACAGGTGTATCTAGCGGGAGAGCCGGCGGGGGGACGCTCGGGTGCAATTCGGGATTGTGTCTTATTAAAGTAATTGTATTAGACTTGCTCGGAGGTGGAAGCAGTTCTCCCAAATTGAGATTTTAATGGGAGCCCGTGAGCTGCTATTTTGCGGTGTGGTTTCGCGAGGCGTTGGGTGGTATTGATTTTCTACATCGGTGTCTCGCGGGCGGAGTACGGGAAGTAGCGCCATCTAGCGGAAGTGTTGAGCCGTGCACTCCTCCCAGGCTGCGAGGTTGAGTGTTCTTGGGGTAGCCTCCTGCACGAGGTTGGGGCCGGGAACCAGCCCTTGGTCCAGGCTGGAGGCTGCAGTAGCTCTCCGAGTACCGACCGTACCACGGAGAACCCCGACGTCCCGAGCTGAGCACGAGCTCAGGGAACGAAATTGCGGGTCGTGTTGAGTGGCATGCTGTCACCTAAAGGAGCTCCATCACTTTCTCCATCTGGGTTTAGACCCTTACGGGAAACATAACATAAAATGTTACCTGCTGTAACAAGACGCCCCTTTCTTGGGCATCTGGGGCAGAGAGCTTGAAAACTAATGCACAGACCTCTCTTCTCCTGTGCATCACAGACAGGTGATTTTTTGGGTAGATTTAGAGCCATGACCCCTAGAAAAGAGAGTGGCTGTGCCCCAAAGGGCAGCAGCAGAACTGGGAGAGGGTCTCCCGCCCATCTGTACAGGAACAGAATAGTGTACCCACGCTGGCTTTTTTTTTCTTTTTGCACATACAAAGAAGGGGTTTCTTGCTGTTAGCACAAAAAGTGACAAGCAAGCCCCCTTCACAGGGACATGGTCTCCAATTAATAACTGGGGCAGACATGGCTGGATGGCAAGTCCTGCAGACAAAGGCCCTGGGTGGGGCACCCACACATCCAGGCGAGCTCCACGTTCTCTGTGGCTGGTTTTTGCTGCCACCTTCCAGGCCAGATAATATATCAGCAGTGAGCTGGGTTCATCCTGTTCTGAAGGGCACGCTGGCCCCTTGAGGAGCAGGGTTGTGGTCTACTGCAGTACACCCTTGAGACTCTGGGCCGTGGTGGTAGTGAAAGAGGTCCTAGCCTCCTTTTTTCAAGTGCCCTGCTTCCATTATTTCCCTCCCAGGTGTCAGACAGGTACTTAGCTCGCAATAGACATGTGAAATGGTGGGTGGCTGGTCTGCCCCCACATGCTGTCTCAAACGGGGTCTCCGGTGTCTCCGTTGGTAGGTGTTTATTTCATCAGGAGACTTGTGACAGACAGGGTCTTAGAGTAGCTTGGCATCTCATTCAAGGAGGGCACTTTTCACTTTTGCTAGGAAACCTCCGTCTGCTTTCTCTTTTTACAAACCTCTCCCAAGGAATGACTTGCTTCTTCCCAGTGTGTGTAATAATAGCAAATGAAGGCACAGGAGTCTCCTGTTAGAGTCCCATGCTCTTCAGCAGCTCTGTGAGAGGCCAAAGACGAGAAAGAATTCTTAGATGAGCAGTTGCAAAATGAAATGAATAGGGACTGAGCATCCCTGACGCTGGGACAGGGAGTTTTTCAGCCACTCTCCCAGGGATGCTTGCCGCTCCCAGGAAGCAGGCAGGAACGGGTGCTGGTATTTTCCGTTTCTCAGAAGAAACCAATGGCCAGAAAGAAGAAGGGATAGGGCCGGGGTTCTGTGAATCTAAAGTGCTTCCCCAACCCCCCCCCCACAACCTTGCTACCAAATGAATTAAGTTCTAGCGCTTGTTTTTACCAAGTATGGTCGCAAAATCTGTTCCTGCCTTGAAGTATGCAGTATAGACATGAAAGGGAGGCATGGTCACCGATCTGTCAAGCCTGCCATCCAGGGAAAGAGACAGGACGTATCCAAATGCAATAGAGCAGAAACATGCAAGGATTATCTGAAAGCAGAGCAGGCTAATTGGAATGTGTTCTGTGAAATGAAATGACACTAGTCCTTACAAGTAATTATTCTGGAACTTGACTTACAATATCCCAAAGGTACGTTTAGTTAACTTTTAAGTGTCTGTGGTGTTCCTCTGGCTCTTTAAGGGAATGGCTTTGCTTCGATTATTTAGCCATTCAGCAAACTTAACTGAACATAAATTTAACCTGAAGAAGGGAAGCTGCAGGTTTCCCCACCTGTCTGGAATCCAGCCCTATCCAAAACACAGGCTCCTCTTTTTCTTATTTTGAGCAAATGACAGCTCAGTTTCAGCCTCTCTTCTCTTAGCAACAGAGCTGTAAAGGAGTAATGAATAGGGCAGTGGAAAAAATTAAGGATTGCCTTACCCAAGTGTGCATCCAAGGCCAGGCAGAAGTCAGTCTCCTTGGTGACAGATGAACAAATGAACTCTACTGAAAGGATACCCAGTTTCTTAGCCAGGTCTGTCCTGTGAGTAGAAGTACTATGTCATGTTAGAACCCAGGGGTCAAGAGGCAAGAATGCCTAGTGAGGTGTGAAACTTGACAATTCTTTTTTTTTTTTTTTTTTTTTTTTTTTTTTTTTTTTTTTTTTTTTTTAAGTAAATTGATTTTTAATTGATATAAGATGAACCCAAATACATATGAACAAGCATGCCCTTTGTTTGGCATTTTTGGCAAAATATAGACTTGACAATTCTTAGGGCAGGAAGAAGAAGGAGTTTTAAAATTGGGGCAGAAATTGACAAAAGATAAATGCAAATGTCTTTTAAAACCTCAATTTGTAAGTCGCCGGTAACTGACTAACATAAAAATGTGCTGCGTACCTATGCAACTTATGAAATGATTGTATCCAGATTACTACAGTAAATAATGGAAGTATAGCCAAGAGTTTATGCAGTCATTACAGAATTGCTGGTTGGATTCACTTCTCATTTTTCAATTGCTTGTTTAAAGCAGTGCTACAAGATGAAGAACTTTCAGAAAGCAAAATACTGGCTTTGCCAGAGCCTGAAAATTAGGCAAAAACTGTAAAGACTGTGTCAACTATCTGGTCAAAGGACACCAGTTCCCATAGGTTCGGTGTCTTCCATAGGCCAAAGCAGAGATCAGCAGGTATGAGTAAAAATGCCCCAAAACTCACCGACTTCTGTCTTGGCAGGACATTTGAGTCGTTACCATCTGTTGTGGCTTCTCCTTATATTTCATTTTTTCATCTTCATGGACTCTAAGATCAAGTTCTTTGTAGCAGCTTGCCCCGGCTGACAGGAACAGTTTGCCTTGTTTCCTGGTAATATTCCATTCTTCTGCTCTTATAAACAGAGATATTCTGCCTAATTCCTCCGGAAGAGTTTTGGTAACATTTTATTCTCAGTATCCGTTTCTTCTTGAAGATGGATGCAACCCATTTTTATCCTCTGTAGGTATGTTGAAGAATTTTCTCCTCGGTGATGTCTTTAAACAAGGTTAGGTGGGAACATGGAACGTACGTACACCGACCCCTGCAGACCTCCTGCACACCCCTCACATTACTTGTATTGTCAGCCACAGGGCAGACTCTGCTTTAGAACTCACTCCCTAGTTCTACTTTTACACCTGTCTCAGCTGATGTGCACTGTGTCTCTCCTCTCCAGGCTGTCTATTTAAAAACCTTGAGATCAGCCAGGCACGGTGGCTCATACCTGTAATCCCAGCACTTTGGGTGGCCGAGGCAGGCAGATCGCTGAGGTCAGGAGTTCTAGACCAGCCTGGCCAACATGGTGAAACCCCCATATCTACTAAAAGTATAAAAGTTAGCTGGGTTAGGAGAACTGCTTGAACCTGGGAGGCGGAGGTTGCAGTGAGCTGAGATTATACCATTGCACTCCAGCCTGGCAACAAGAGTGAAACTACCTCTCACACACACACACAAAAATTAGCCAGGTGCCATGGTACATGCCTGTAGTCCCAGCCACTCAGGTGGCTGAGACAAGAGAATCACTTGAACCTGGAAGGCAGAGATTGCAATGAGCTGAGATCATGCCATTGCACTCCAGCCTGGGCAACACAGCCAGACTCCATCTCAGGAAAAAAAAAAAAAAAAAAAAAAACATGAGATCTGATTGTTTGAGGTGTTTTCACAAAGTTTGATTCTCTCTATCAAAGTCTGATCCACTTGTAAGACTAAAAGGCCTTGCTGATGAATTTTGCCTTGCAGGAATACCATTTTACCTGTTCAAATGCTCATGTAAAAGAGGCTTGCTCAAAAACGTCTCCTGGGCAAATGCTGGGGCCTTCTGAGTGGCTGAGGAATTTATAGCCGGTGTGCATTTTCAGCACCCGACAGTGGCAGCCTGAGGAATAGATTGCCCTTGCAAAAACATAGCCACTGGACTCCCACTTCTTCCACAGAGGGTTTTTTTCTGGTT